CCTCTGTAGCCCAGGCTGCCCTCTAACTCACAGAGATCCACCGGCCTCTGCCTCCCAAGTGCTGGAATTAAAGGCGTGCACCACCACCTCCCTCCCTCCCTCCCTCCCTCCCTTCCTTCCTTTTCTTTTGAGACAGGGTTTCTCTGCGTAGCCCTGTTTATCCTGGATCTCCCTCTGTAGCCCAGGCTGCCCTCACAGAGATCCGCCTGCCTCTGCCTCCTGAGTGCTGGGACTAAAGATGTGCACCACCACCACCGGGTGACTCATTTTTTTTCTCCCGCTCCCCTGTCCCATCAGGCAGGCAACCTTCTGGGGCTTCCATATTCCCTTCTCAGTTGCTGTACCAAGAGCACCTCCCCTTTTAATACTGTAACACAATGCTGTCATCCGCAAAGTTCACACTAGTCAAACAAAACAGAAGCAAAACAATGCCTCTAAAAACAAACAAAACAAAACAAAAGCTCCCCAAACCCAAGGGAGAAACAAACCATGCCCCAGTGTGCCAAGACAACCTTAAGTAAGACGTCGGGGTTTCTCGTCCCAGCTCAGTGATGGACCAGGCGGCGCTGACTGGGTTTCCCTATTTCTATAAGAAGAGTCCAAACCATGTGGACCTCAGTCGGGGGATGGGCGGATAAGTGATGGGGTTCGGCAGTGGGCTTAGGTGGACTGCATATGGAACATTACAGAACGGACAACCATTCTGACAAGTACTAGGGTAGCTGAGACTACCCAGGAGACCTCAGGTGGCCAGGGGCACATGCTCCGCAGAAAGCCTCCTACAGGCCTGGCCCAGGACCTTAGGAAAGGCCCAAGCACCAGCCACTGCCCCAACCCAGTTCTCCTAAGAGAATAACAGCCACACATTCCATCCTTCCCTCCCATGCAGGTTTGCCTGCTTAGGCTTCAGGTTAATTTTACCAGGGCAAAAATGGACGACACCTTTCCCTGAATGCTGGGGAAAGTCTGGGTGGCCAGTGCCTGTGAAAGACAGGTCCTTGCCTCAGGGTAAGGAGGGGCTGCAGGGGTCTGGGAGGCTTTTCATCCCACAGAGGCTTGAACTCACTGGGTGGGGGGCCCAAAGCAAGTTTTAAAACTTGCCAGTGCTGTGGCTACCTCGCTGTAAAATTAGTGGGCAGAGGCCACAGGCCGTGTCCTTCTGGACCCAGAATCTTCATTTCTGCCCTGTTTCTCCCCCAAGTACAGATCCATGGGGACCGGCCTGGAGTGCAGCTTAGCTGGCCGGCAGAGTGCTCTCCTAGCACTCATGAAGCCCTGGGTTTGATATCTAGCCCGGAAGTCACCCGTGGTGGCGGGCCACACTTGCCATTCTAGCGTGTGGAAGGCAGAAACATGAGAACCAGAGGTTCAAGGTCTTTCTCAGTTCCAAGGCTAGTTTGAGGCCAGCAGCCCAGGTGTGAACGTAAAATGTTTTACTGCCCTGCAGAGCCTGTGGAAGGTTTATGGATAGCTGAGTGCTTGGAGTCATCTGACACTATGTGGTTCTTCTGTGGGATACTGTGCTGTGCATTTCCTGAGAGGTGTGTCTGATAACTGGTGTCAGCTGAGGAGAGCTGTCCACTGGGGGCTCCACTAGAGCAAGTAGTTGGAACCTACTAGAGGGAGATGACAATTCTTCTACAGTGTCATGGATGCCGGAGGACAAGGCATCAGACATGCCCAGCCTTCTGACATTGGGATGGCATTGTTATCTTCAGTGTTCACACTTGGGAACTGCACAGCTGCAACTCAATCAGTCAATCTCACAAGGTTTTACTACGTGTGCGATCTTGTGTTGGGCCTCATTCATGGCTATTCTGGAATGGATGCCCTGGAGTCGGGATCAGAAAAACAACAAGCACCCTTTCGCATCTGTGTCTCAGACACTGGCGTTGAACCTGATTCTGCAAGGAACAGTGCTGCGGGTGTAATTGTATCTTCTCATGACACTATGGAAACGGATCCACAATGATCACCCATCTGGAGTGAGCGTCTCCCAGGATAGCGGGGTGGGTGGGCTGTGGTGTTTTATATTGAAGGTCTGACCTGCTTACCTGGTTGGCTCGTTCGAGGTCAGTCATGATCATCTCGATCTCATCAGCTCTGGGAAGGCAAGAGGGAGAGAGGTTAGTCATCGCTTCGGCAGGTGCAGTGAGTGACCAAGGGAGAGGCTCTCTGGCTCCGACTGAAGCAGAATGACCACGTCCACAAAGGCGAGGCAGAAGCTCTGGCGCTAGGGAGGGGAGGATCAGACCAACCCGTAGGGGTCACAGTGGCCAAAGGGACAAGGTGGACATGCCACAGGCAGCATGCCTGACAGTTGTGTCACTTTTTACTTATTGTTACGATTACTGTGTGTGTATTCCCCTGCCGTAGTGCCAAGGACAACCCTCGGAGTTGGCTCTCCTCTTCTTCTGTGGCTCCAAGGGTCACACTGAGACCCTCAGGCATAAACAAAGAACAATCTCACCCACTGAGCACCTCATCAGACCTCAATTAATTAACTAGCTTATCCTGAGATAGGCTCTCCCGTAGCCAGGGTTGATCTCAAACTGCCTGTGTAGTCAAGGCTGACTCCCAACTCCTGCCCCACCTCTCACGTGCTCTAATTACAGGTGAGGATCACCAAACCAGGCTCTCCATTCACTCTGTTGAGATTCTTGTGTCTGGAGGGGATTAAGAACCCCTCTTAACCCCAGCCCCTCTGTTGGGCAGACAGAGCCAAAAATTAGTAAAACGCAGGTCTCTGGATGTGGCTCAATTGGTAGAGAGCTTGCCTGGTATGCATGAAGCCCTGAGTTCAATCCTCAGTGTCCATAAAACTGGGCCTGGTGAGGCGGCCAAAGGCTCAGCCCACCTATGGCAGGGGCTTGGGATGGGGAAGTAGAACTTAGATAGATTTGGGGTGATTGTTTGGGGCTCTGTGTTTCTTCAACAGTGAATGGTGTAGGAGGCATTGTGGAGCACATCTCTACTTCCAGCACTGAAAAGGATGAGGCAGGATGATGAGTTTGAGTCCAGCCTAGGCTACATGGTGAAACTCTCAAAAATGTTCATTAGATTTTTTTTTTAAATTTATTTAATTTTATGTGCATGGTGTTTTGCATGCACGCCTGTATGTGTGAGCGTGTGTGTGTGAATGAACCATATATGTGCTTTGTGCCCAAGGAGACAGAAGAGTGTGTTGGATTCTATGGAACTGGAGTTACAGATGGTTGTGAGCTGCCATGTAGATGTTGGGAATTGAACCTGGGTCCTCTGCAAGAGCAGCAAGTATTCTTAACTGCTGAGCCCCAAGGATTCCTAATAGGAAATGCAAGAAAAGATTTCAAATCCTTTATGGAAACCTAGTCTTTGGTCTTGAGCTGGGACTAGAGGTGGCTTGGTGGTTTAATCCCCAGAAAACCACACAGTAGAAGAGACAAGACTTCTGCAAATTGTCCTCTGACCTCCACACAGGCCCGTGGCAACTGTGTGTGCATACATACACAAAACAAGTAAACAAACAAACAAACAAATGTAAAGCAATTTTGAAAAACAAAATAAAATGCCACCTAGTCCCATTTAAACAGGAAGGTACTTTCTCTGCTGTTTGAAGCAATCCCTGGAAGTGAATTTCAAGTTTTCCACTGGTGGGTCAGTCTAACTTTGGTTGCTAAGCAACCACAGAACTGAGCAAAATAATGAATGTGATAATGACAGCTGTGCATTTCACTGTGAGAGCACTCATGGCTTCCTGGACTTTCAGAGGAGATCAACACCACTGTTCTGCTGTGGTAGGGCAGAGTTACTCAGACCTCAAGACTGTGCTGACACCCAGACCCAGAGAGGCTACCATTCCCAGAAACAACAGGAGACAGTGAGGGGACAAGGCTTGTCCCAAAGTCTATATTATTATTATTATTATTATTATTTTGATTTTTCGAGACAGGCTTTCTCTGTGTAACAGCTCTGGCTGTTCTGGAACTCCCTCTGTAGATCAGGCTGGCCTCCCAGAGATCCACCTGACTCTGCCTCCTGAGTGTTGAGATTACAGGTGTGTGCCACCACCTCGTTTATTATTATTATTATTATTACATTTCTGTTTCAGGATCTGATATATCCCAGTCTGGCCTCAACTTACTATGTAGCTGAAGATAATCTTGAACTTCTAATCCTCCTGCCTCCACCTCCCTCGTGCTGAAATCACAAAAGTGTGCCAGAATATTCAGTTTATGTAGTGCTGGGGAGGGAGCCCAGTGTTTGGTGTCATGCTGGACAAGAGCACCAGATGAGCTACAATCTCTAGCCCAGCCCCTTCCACAGAGGATTACTTTAAAAGACTGTACAGAAGCCTTCACCCGCTTCTGTAGGTCAAAGAGAGTAAATACAACCAGTTACAAGTAAAGTACTTAAGGCAGGGTCTCCTGCTTGGACGGCAGGTCTGCTCCACCATGCTGCGCAGCACTAGCTGGGAGTTTCAAGGCAATCTTGAGTTCTGGAGGATGTAAAGCACAGCCGGACCAGCCCAGTATGTCCTACCTTGAAGCACTGCTCCCCTGGGTTGACCCACCCTGTGCTGGTTACTTCTTGTCAACTAGACACAAACCAGTCACCCGGGAAAGGGAACCTCAATTGAGGAACTGGCCTATAGGCAAGCCTGGAGGGCTTTAATAATTAAAACGAGTATTTTCTTGATTAATAACTGGCGTGGGAGGGTCCAGCCACTGTGGGTGGTGCTCCCCCAGGTGATCCTGGCTTATATAAATAAGGAAGCTGGCTGAGTTCCTTTCATGTTCTCTTTTTCAGTTCTTGCCTTGATGCCCCTCAGCAATGGACTGTGCTGTGGAAGTGGAAGCCACATACACCCTTTCCTCCCGATCTGCTTTGGGCAGCGAGTGTTTCATCACAGCACCAGCAGAGCAAAGGAGGACACACCTTCCCAAGTGTCCCGCTGCACCTCATCTGCCAACCAAACCAAGCCTCCCAGATCACCTGTCCTTAGTCAGTACAGAGGAAATGTTCAGGAGCCGAGAGTCTCATCTGCTACTTAACCAGGACACGGCACTGCAATACGGCCCTTCCCGGCCTAGTACTCATTCTATAGTCCCGGCATTGCAGGAATCCTCCTGCTTCAGCCTCTGGGATTACAAGTGTGCATAATCGTATCTGGCTGTAAAGGGCACTAATTCTTTGATTTGTTTTGAGCCAGGGTCTCATGGCCCAAGAGGCTGCAATCCTCCTGACTACCTGAGTGCTGGGATTAATCATGCCTGGCCATTCTTCCCATTTCAAAGTTCCTGAAGATTGTGAGATTGACATTTGTCTAAAATCTGTTATATTTCAAAGTCTGTAATACGACAGACTGTTTGCTCAGCACAGTTTATCACAAACCCTCCTCCTCCTCTCACCTTTCCGTGAACCGACAACACCGCGCCCACTGTCTATTAACCTGCACTGTTTTATGCTCTTCCCTGACTTCAAGCATGGGGTCATTTCATCAGGCCAGAATATATATAGTTCACTCAGCTGTTTCCCTGCACATCATTTCAGGGTATTCTCTGGGCTAACACACCATTTTTATGACAAACTTCAAAGGACACAGTCAAGGTTGATGGAAAGGAAATTATACCCATGCCAGACACCGTGGATTTCCTTTCGCACAAACCTCCTGAGTGCTAGCAACATCCGGCCCAGCGCCAGGCTGCTGCATATTTCATCGTCTTAGCCATCAGTGACGCCAGGAAAACAGTGTGCTCAGTTCTCCATGTCCTTAGGTTCCACTTCTGCAGATTCGGCAAACTGCTGCACAGATGTTCCATGTCTTTATCAACCTCAAGTGGGCCTCAAGTTTGGTCCTCATTTGATAATGAGCAATATAGTGTAAAAACTATTTTACAGAGCATACATCGTATTATCTATTAAAAATTATGTATGGTGACTTGGAGAACATTCTATGCATACGCTACAGAATTTTACTTTAATTATTGTTTATGTGTGTTGATTTTTATATGTATGTATGTATGTATGTATGTATGTATGTGTATGTTTATGCATGTCAAAGCCAGAGGACAAATTGCAGGGGTCTGTTCTCTCACTGTGTGGGTCCCAGGGATCAAACTCAGGCCATCAGGCTTGCAACAAGCACCTCTACCTGCTGAGCCATCTCACCAGGCCCTAATTATTATTACTATCATTTTGTCATTTAAAAATGTGAGACACTCAAGACAGGCAGGCCAGGGCTGGAGTCCAAGTTCAGAAAGGACAGGTTGGTCAGGGGTGGATGGAGTCTGGCTCTGAGGAAAGGTGTGCTGTGATGGGGACTGTCCTCCCTGAAAAGGGCGGAGGTCCCCTCTTTTAGCCGGAAGGGCAGGGCAGTCTGCAGTGGGAAGGCTGCTTGTGATGGCCGATACTGTCAGTTAACAAGGTCCGGACGCACTGGGGAGAAAGGCCTCTGGCGCGTCTGTGAGGGCTGCTGAGGTTAGGGTAAGTGAGGTAGCGAGAACATGAGCGAGGCCACCCCCTGGGCTGGGGCTGGGCTGAATGACAGGGAGAGAGCGGGCAGCAGTGCTCTCTCTGCTCTGACTGAGGACGCAAGGTGCCTTGGTCAGATATTTTGTCTCAAGACAACCAATAAGCATCAATTAGGTCAATCAGGATGTCAATCAGGAGGTGGGGTGGGTCTGAGTCCCCACAAGGGGTCAGCTCGACAGAGGAGGTGTTACCTTGCAGCTATGTAGGGTGGCCTGGTCAGTTCAGTGACAGCCTTTCTATGGCTCCTGTGGCCTTTCACAGTATCCTAAGCCCTTGCCTGCACATGAGGAGAGCAAAGAAACTTCGGGTGTCACTGTAATGGCCCCCCTTCCTTATCTGGGAAACAGGGCTGGGAAGGTAGCTTGGTTGGTACCCCGCTTGCCCTGCATGCCTGAGGCCCTGAGTGGGACCCTCAGAACCCACATAACAAAGGCTGGGCATGGCAGCAGGTGCTTGTAATCCACCAATGGAGAGGCAGAGACAGGCAGATCCTGGGACACACTGTCCATCTAGCTGAGCCCAAGTGGAAGCTCCAAGAAAAAGGGAGAGCCTGTCTCAGAAAAACAAAAGGTGGTTGGAATCCGGTCTCC